TGAGCTCACACCAGAATCTCTCATACAGAACAGCCTAAGGTATTCCAGGTCTACTCTTTCAGGTGACATCTCTGAACCTTTCAAACTTGTCCCACAAGCCATTCCCAAAGGTTCTCGTACCACATGGTCAGGTACAGTCACAGCAATGACCCCACTTCTCTATACCACATCCTGACTTGGTTACTTTTCTTCCATTGCTGAGACAAAATGACTGATGCGAAGAATTAAGGAAGGAAGGGTTTATTTAGCTCACAGTTTGTGGAGGTTTCAGTCCATACTCAGCTGGCTCCAAGCCAGAGTGGCACATGGCAGAGGGCAACAGGTCATGGTGGTTTCAAGGCAGCAGAAGAAGCAAGAGCAAAAAGGGAAGAAAAACAGCAAGCAGCTCTTTCCCTCCGTTACATTGTATGCAAGCTACCCACTGTCAGGTGGACGTAGCACTCACACTCATAGTCTCAGCATTGGACTGTGAATCAATCAAAAACTCGAAGCCTGCCCCATGACTGCATGAGGCTTTGGGGGGACATCTATACACAAACCATGACAGTACTTTATATATGAACATGAGACATGAATATTTAAGTCTCGTGTGCTCACATCAAGCTAATATAGTAGATGTTTAATAAACATTTGCTGAATGAGTTAATGGGTATTATTGATTCTCACTATCTTGCTGTAATTTTGAGATATTATTCATATATATTGTATTATGTTTTATGACTATCACTATGCAAATCATCCAAACTTACCCACTTAAAGCATCTTAATATTTTCCATAAATTATAAATATTTTGTCACAGCTTCTATCTGTCCATTGGGATAAGAGAAATTAATAGAGGATTCTTGAACATTGCCTTAGTTAGATTGGGGAAAGTACATAACCATGTTTACTCAATTTGTGCTGCTGGGCATCCCTTTTTTGGAAAGAAATAAATTTATAGTGTAATTCCTTTTCAAAATCCATGTATTACAGGAAATATAAGAATACTCAGTGGGCATTTTATAATGGATAGTGAGGATCTTGATGTTAATATATCTTTAATAATATAAATGTCTTTATTATTAACATCATCTTCCTACATACAATATTTTATGTTTCATTATTCTGTTGATTAGCAGTGCCAGTTTAAACACTAAAATTAATTTAGTATATCAGATTCAAAGCCAGTTGTGTTATTGTTTTTCATTTGCACAGGGGAATCACAATGAATCGGAGGCTTTACTGTGAACCCGAGGACCTTAGGACAATTACTGAGTGTAAAAAAAGACTTTGGGCCCCGTCTGATTAATTTAAGTTAATTATAAAGTTGCTGGAATTTATTTTAATTTGTGAATACTAGAAATGCATACGGAATAAAATCATTCTAGGGCATGTGATATTTTGAAGTCACTGTGAAGGCACCAATTTTTCATGTATATGAAGCTTTCATTATCATAGACCTATTTGGCATTTACTTTTACTATTCTTTGAATTCCATTTATCTGAGCCAGTGCTTGTGATTCCTGTGGAAAACGTTTCTAAAAGAAGGGGACTAAAGTCAGTGACAGCTATTGGTCATTATCTCCTTACCATGGTAAAGAGTTGTTTTTGAAAGCCCATCTAGTTGAATAACTCTCCTTTTTAGTTTATACTTCTTTGTTTTAATCAAACCTCACTGACCTACTATCACATTTTATAGGTATTATTAACAAATTCTATTAATATTATCCTCCTGAATAACTTTTTTAAAACTTGCTTTACCATAGTGATTCTCAAAATATTAGTACTCATTCATGCACTTCGTATCACTTTTTGACTGCAGACTATAAGTCACGTTGTGTGACACAAGGAAAATACGTTCTTTCAAAAATTGAAACTGTGAACTACAAAGATATTGAGGATATTTTACTGTTTCAAACTTGTTCATTTAAAGGGGGAAAGTTAGATTATATTTTAATGAAAAATGTTAACATAGGCTTCACAATAGTAAGCACTAACCATGTATGGCTTATCCAGATGTCAATCAGTTTGCATTATCAGCTTTTTTTCTGTTTTTGTAATTCCAATTTACTGCTACAATTTAGGTGTACATGGTGACCATATTCATTATAGTGGATTTTTAACTGTGCATGATATATCTTGATTTCCTTTTCTTTTTCCCCATTCCCATTCCCTCTTGTGAAATCCCCTTCCCCTCCACATTCACAAAGATAAGTTTTCATTTTATCCTTCTTTCCTCATTTTTTCCTTTCCTTCCTTTCCTCTCTGCCCTCCCTATATCCCTTTTCCTTTTGAACAATTTCTTCCTATTTCACAATATCTATTACATGTTCATGTTCTTATTTGCATTTTCAGTTTCTCACACCAGAGAGATAATGTGATATTTACACATATGTGTCTGATTTATTTCACTTGTGATTATGATCTCAAGATCCATACAATTACCTATAAATGTCCCAGGTTTATCTTTCTTTATGGCTAAGTAATACTCCATTATATTAAAAAGAAAACCACATCTTTTTTATCCATTCATTGGTTGATGGACATTTGGGCTGCTTCCAAGATTTAGCCATTACAAACTGTGATGCTGTACATATGGGTGCACATATATTTCTGTGGTATGATGCCTTTAATTCTTCTGGAAAGATATCCAGAAGGGAAATAGCTGTTTTTTGAGGAATCTCCAGACTGATCTCCACAGTGCTTGCACCACTCTACAGTCCCACCAATCGTGGAGAAGGGTTCCTTTTACCCCACAGCCCCTCCAGCATTTGTTATTAGTTGTTTTCTTAATGATAGCCATTCTTTCTGTAGTGAGATAGAATCTATGCATTGTTTTAATTTTCATTTCTGAAATGACCATTGATGTTGAAGATTTTCTCATACGTTTGCTTGTCATTTTACTTCTTTTGAGAAACGTCTACTCATCTCAGATGCCCATTTTTGGACTGGATCTTTGAATTTGAATGGTCTGGTTTTTTTTTTTTTTTTAGTTTTTTATATGTTCTAAATATTACTCCTTTCTGTGAAGACAGCTAGCATAAATTTTTCTACAGGTCTCTTATTTCAGATTAATTTTGGTATCAGGCTGTATATCCCTTCCTTTCTTCCAATTACCTGTGTTTTTAGTTGATTTTCTCTGAGAAAACTGAATGTGAGTCTTCCTTTATTCAGCCATGTTGAAGATCTCTTGCATTGTATTCACAATACAGCTGTTTTACTACAACATTTTCATTCTACGTATACCTAGTTAATTAGTCTCCCATTGTGTAGCTTAAGACATGTGAAGAGAGTAGGACATTTACTGTTTCCTTGACTGTTAAAATTTCTGTATGCTTCTAGAGGTAATTTCAATATGATTTTGTTAATTTTAATAGACAAAAGGGATGACTATTAAACTGTTCTTAATGTACAGTTGTCTTAACATGGAAGTAGCTTGAAAACTAGAAAAAAATTAAGTGTTGATTATTGCATAGGAAGGACATCGTTCTTAGAAAGATCCTTTGAGGACCATTCATGATGATTTTAAAATAAATATATTAAAGGTAATTTTTCTGGTAGTGGTAGCAATAATTCTGTCTTAAGTTATAATAGCAAACTACTTGTCACTCCTCATAAAATCATAATTTTTGAACATAATTAGCTTGTATCCTTAGACTGTGCTTCACTTCAGGTTGGTCAGTCTGGTAAAGCTTAGATCGTTTAAAACTTTAGTTATTCATGTAGTTTATTTTAATGTGTTATTTCTCTATTAAACTAATCATTAAAGCAAAGAGACTCAATGGATTTGCAGTAGTGTTGTACATCCTATAATAATACACTATGAAATTTTCCCAGATGCTAATATACATAAACATGTTCCCTTAGCAAAAATATACCGTCGTATGTGTTGCTTTTCCTCTTGAAAAAACTTATTTGTGACGTCCTTCCCAAAGAATAGATGAATTAACATAACAAATAACATTATTAACCCAACATGAAGCTATATTTTTAACAGTGGTAAAAAAGCCTCATGAATTTGGAGATAAGAGCTTATTATTCTACTTGATTTTTAAAAAATGTTTGCTTCACTTTTCTCAGAAAATTAAAGCACTGTAGAGGTTTTATTACCTACAACACTGTTTTTAATATTGGAAAAAGTAAAGTACCAACATATGCATACTGTGGTATCTGTAGTATTTCTGTACAGGGGCGTTTAGGGAGTTGACTTCATGTTTCATTTTCATAGCAGATCACCACGGTATTTTCGGGACTGGTTTATCTAGAGCATGGGCTGATGTAGCTTACGGGGCTAATGCCTGCCACTTCTTGGCACTACTGTTTCTTATTTTCAAATATTTTAACCATCTTAAAGAGTTTCCTTTTCTAGAAAGTGAAAGTAAGTTGTTTTTTTTTTTTATTCTAAGAAAGCAAATAGTATTTTTAAAATGGTAGAGACAAGTGTAACTTACTCAGTGACCTCATCCTTGAGGTTCTTTAATTGTGTGTGCACACGGATGTACTGTTGTCCACCTTTCAAATAGTTCATGCTTATTCTTCAAAGCAATCTCAGCAGGAATTTTTCTGTTGCAACCTGTTTAGCAGTTAAAGTTACTTGAGGTACATTAAAGCAATTTCACTGAATTAAAAACTCTACATTTTAGCTTATTTTAATGGAAATCCACGTCTTCCCTTTTCATCAATTAGTCCAAATTAGTGAGATTTTACTATGTATTTAATTCCAGTGATGCTGTAGAAATCTGCTAAAAGAGTAATTAATGTCATACACTAGGTAAGAAGCAGCAATTGATTTTTCGTTTTTATTTGGCTTATCTTTTCTGCTTAATGCTGAGATTTAATTTGTAGGGAAACCTCTAAGAAGCTCTGTATTTTTATGTTTATCCTCTTCCTTAAATTAATGCAATAAACACTTTTATTGATTTCAGAGTGAGCTTTATTAATGTTAATATGGCTCGCTAATGTTGTTTCGTGTACTTGGATTAGTACCGTAATTGTTTATGTATCAATATTATTGTTTCAGTTCAAAAAAATGCAGACACTTCAGAAGAAAAAAAGACTGTACCTGCAAAGAAGAAAGTAAAAGAATTGAGAGTTTTGGATCCCAAAACAGCTCAGAATCTCTGTACGTAAATATTTTCTGCATCGGGATAGTGTGGTGCAGGAGAGGGGTTGTTGATTGTGTTTAAACCAATTTGCAACTCCTTTCAACAGGCATATGTAGCATCTTGAAGCAAAATTATATTTAAATATGCTTTGGGTTGTCTTTTTTCACTTAGCCAGGGAAAATCTTACTTAAAGCCTTTTTCATTTCATATAAAACTTATGGGTAATAAAGTTTTGGAAAGTATTATTGATAAAGCATTCTTAGTTAACCAGTGAAACATAAGACAGAATTTCTCCTTCTGCCTACACCTGGGATTGATAATTTTGGGGTATTCACTGGATCCATTTGGAAAATCCTTTTACTGCATTTCCTTTATACTTGAAGTAATTGTGATGTGAGTCAGGTAACTTGCTATCTGCACTGTAAAACTGGTTACTGAACATTGAAACTTTTAACAAGCCAGCCAGCTCTTAAGTATGCTTTTGCTAAAGCAGCTGGACATTTATCCTCATCTTCATTTTAGTTCACCTTCAAATTTTAATTTGATATAGTCTCCCTCTGCATTTAATTCAGAATATTTTTTATCACTTCAGGAGTTTGTCTAGGTTCTTAGGATACTAAAATGATGTGCATCAGAAATTTCAATGTATCAAGCATTACTAATTATTCAAAGGATACCATTAGGATACCATTAGAGTTCCTTTTGTGAAGGAATATGCTACAATCAGGTTAAAATAAACAACTTACTGTTCTTGTGTCAGTAGTGTTATCAACAGCACATCAGAAACACACACGTTGTGCGAGAAACAGAATAAATGCTGGATTTATTCTGTCTGGGTGCAGACATACTGAGATTGTGAATGATTTTAGCAGCTGGCCAGTGGGCAAGTAAAGTTTTTATAGCGTATGGAGTGGGGTTATAATCCCAAGGAATCTGGATGGAATGTTTGTGGTCAGAGTCCCAAGGACAGTCAGTACAGGTGCATAGATAATACTGGACTTCCTCACTATGGGGAAATTGAATGTCCAGTCCTAAATTTTCTTTCTGGCCATCTGTTTTATTTGCTGAGACAAGTGGCATGGCCCAGTTGGGTCTCCTGTGTTTGTTGAGAACGAACAGCCTTACTGCGGAGAAGGGCTTGCCCGGGTCAGGCATGACAAGTAGTAATGTTGCTCTTCAGAAAAGAAGTATACTAAGAGGTGTTGTAAGTCTGTACATGGCTTATGCAGTAGTGCATTTTCTTTATAAAGCTGACATTCAGTCTCTTGTAAAAACACTCCATGGTCTCAGTTGCTGGTTGATAACTGTCGACATCATTTACTTAGGTTGTGAAGATCTCATTTGGTCTCTATGTCTAGGTAAAGATTCAGTCTATTTTGGTTCCAGTGAAGGCATATAGACCTATTCATGAAATAAAAATATTTTTAGAAATAGCTCAAACATTTATAGTCATAAGAACATGTCTATATTCTTTTAAAAATATATTTAATGGAGATTAAAGTGGAATATGTTGATAAATACTTTCTAAGTAATTGTTAGCTATTCTAGCTATAATTTGTTACAGTACTCCAATATGACATAAAGTGGTGTCCAATTAATAAAAGTTGACAAGGGAAAATAATGATTCAATATATGAAGCAACTAATAGCACACCACATGAATGTCAGCAGGAATTCAGAGTACACTGATGATTCAAGCACTTAAATTTTCTTCCTGTGTGGGAGATGTGCAAAGTACAGTAGTCCCTTCTTGTCTGTGGAAGATATGTTTGGTGGATGCAGGGGACTACAGCTAGTACTAAACCCTGCACATACTATGCATTTTTCAAAGATACATTCATATTATAAAGTTTAATTTATAATTAAATTAATTTATAATCTCTTCATTCAGTTGTATTACTTCAATTTAAAATGACAATAATAATAATAATAATAATGTAGTACAACAATTATAATAATAGGCTAGAATGAAAGTTATGTGAATCTGGCTACTCATCTCTTTCTCAAAATATCCTGTTGTACTGTGCTTGTGATGATGTGAGATAGTACATAAAGGACTTTAGAGCTTCTCTGTGGCAAATCCAAACTGCTGGCATAGCTACTCTTATGCTCTGGGCCTGTTATTAGTTAAAAATAAAGATTACATGAACACAAGCATTAAAATACTTTACAGTTGATCTAATGACCCAGAAGAATACTAAGTGATTAAGGGACCTGTAGCATATACTGTACAGATCACTGGGAAAGGCGTGATTTACATTGTGACGGATGGAGGGAGAATCTCACTCAAATGAAAACTTTAGGCTGTGTCTTTCTTGAACTTTCCATTTAATATTTTCAAAGTAGGGTTGATGGCAAGTAAGTAAAACCATGGGAAATGAAACCCCACAGATCATAGAGGACCATTGTAGATTAGTACACTTTTATTTTAATTTGGTAACTTTACTGCCATTCCCAAGAAGTACTGTATTGGGTGTGTCCGGCAATCTCTCCATTCAGTTGTATGTTGATGTGTCATTTTGTATTACTTCAATCTAAAATGCCTGAGCATATAGTTAGAAGTGCTGTTAATAGTTTCATTTCGTGTAAATATACATGAACTCTAAGCACTGGAACCTGAGATAATGGGCCATTTTGCCTAGATGGATAGAGTAGTCCATCAAATAGAAACAGCTATTATTTGTTCATAATGCCGTATATTAGCGTTAGGGGCAGATTTTGTATTCTGAGTCTATAAAATAGCAATCAGCTGTATTTAGGGATTTTACAATTTTATGCTGTTTTATTTTTTAATAAAATCAAATTTTGTTTTAGCTATCTTCTTGGGATCATACCGCATGCCATATGAAGACATAAAAAACATCATTTTGGAGGTTAATGAAGACATGCTAAGTGAGGCCTTAATTCAGGTAAGTTTGGTGTCCTTTTTAAGCTTGTTACCATAGGTATTTCTAGATTGCTATCTTCTCAATGGACTTGTGAGAAAATACTCATCTATATGTGAACAACAGAATCAAGAGTATGTAGCTATGCGGCAAAAGCGCCTGCCTGGCAGGCGCAAGGTCGTGAGTTCGGTTCCTGGTACCAGAGAAAAACCAAAAAAAAAAAAAAAAAAAAACAAAAAAGAGTATGTAGCTATGTTGATAGTAAGAGAATTCACTCTTTAACATCTTGGTTCTAATTCTGTTTCGGCAGTTCATTAGCTCCATGTACTTTTAAATATAAGCATAAGCATATAGGGACATATCATTCTCTTTCATTTCCTGTACTTGAAATTACAAGCCTTTTTATCACCACAATGGCTTCGTTATGTAGCTATTGTTATCACTGTGTTACGTAGGAAAACACTGAGAGGTCAAGAAGTTAGAAAACGTACTCAAGATCAATGGGTAGGTGGTAGGGTTATCCTTTTGGGGGTATATCACAGGCTGGGGAACATGTGAAGGACTTCATATCTTATTATTGCATTGACTCTTACAAGCCAAGCACTATTATCCTCCTTTTATCAACAGGGCACACTGAGGCTTAGAAATACCACTCAGTCTCATGTGACTACCCAGTGGCAGTGTAGCACATAAAGGATTCAAAACAAAATCTTGACTCTGAAGCCATTATGTTAGAATCCCTTGTGCAAACTAAAGCTTTCTAAATCTGTTTCCTCATCTGAAATTACAGAGTCATTGTGAGGATTAATCCAAATGAAGTGATTTACAGAATAAAGCGCTCTACAGATCCAGCATATGATTAGAGTCCTTAGTATGTCTGGCCCTGTCTGGTTAATTTCCAGAAAGGAGAACCAGAAAGTTTTTTGCTTGTTTGTTTTAGTAGAAGGACAGAATCGTTCAGTTATTTTAGGGAGCTTGATGTTTTTTTTTTTTGAGATGTATAATTTAGTTTTAAGATTATATTGAGCAATTTATGCTATATAACTTTAGCAATTTTGCCATAACCCCGTCAGACTCCATAAGTCTTAGAGAACCTGTTTCTAATTTGAGCAAACCATGTCTCTATGTAAGTTTTTCTATTTTGGAAAATGGGCTAGCATCACAGTTTATTTCATATGTTTTAAATCTAGACATGATTATCTTCTTTAGGACTAGTGTTGGATGAGTTGGTATGGCTCTTTATCATCATTGCACACCAATATAAGGGTTATCCTTTCGTGAGTAATCCCTTTATAAGGGAAACTCTGTGTGTGTGTGTGTGTGTGTGTGTGTGTGTATGTGTACCCCAACCTGGACTATAGGCAAGGTAATAGTTCTGTGAGTTGAAATAGGGAGCTGATTATATTCATCCTGCCCAGAATTGTTTGCACAATTAGAATGGACAAAGCATGAAACCTAAACCTGACTTACTTTTCCTCATTTTCTTCAATCGGAAGGTTTTGTTTTAAAATATAAAAAGGCATGGAAACTTGTAACTTTAAAGCTTTCTCATTTTTTCCATGTAATCAAATTAAAACAAAATAATTATAGTTTGTTCAAATCATAGTTTGGAGAGTTAATTGATGTAGCCATTATTTCACCTTTAAAACAGTATAGTTTTTTCATCACATGTCTTCGTAGAGAAAAAATATCAATATGCAGAATAGTGTTGTAGTGTTTATTCACCAGCAACAATCAAAGGTCTTTGTGATTTTTAAAGTATTGTTTTCAACTCTTTAGGGATTGCAGCATAAACAAGGATTCTCACTCATAAGTGTTCCTTATACGTAACAAACTTTTAAAGTGTGCATATGGAAATTTATTCCCTGGGATTTTTTGTTTCACTTTATTTTATAGCATAAGCAGCATCTATTTGCTTCCATTTAAATTGAATTAGCCTAGTCCAGTTTGGAGGAATGAATTGTTTACTCTTTGGAGATGACAGTAAATTATGTCTAAATTCCTAAATTTGCTGGTTTAGTCTAACCCACTGTGCGGTCAACACAGCTGCTTTTAAAATCCTGTTACTATGCTAGATCTTGGATTGTACACTGGGAAGGTGAGTGAAGGGGAAATCATGTAGATCCTCCCGAGCTACTTTGTGCTTCCATATATCCCATGTGTACTGTGTGTTCACCGACCTGGTCCTGTGTTGCCTCTTCCTGTTTTCTAGACATCCATCCCCTTTTCTGCTCTTTGCCTTTTTCTCTTTGCCAGATATCTGTACATGTTATCCCTTTCCTTCTTTGCTCCACCTACTCTCTGCCTTCTCTTTTATACTTTTGATTTGCTAGAACTCTTTTTGAAAACCACCTTGCTTTCCTTCTCAGTGCCAGATACTCTAAAATGGTTTCTCATTCCTTACCCTTCTCAATCGAAACTTGTTTTTTTAGTTTAGCTTATAGTAAGCAAACCATCTAACATGCGATATATTCATGACTGGAATTAGGTAAAATGAGTATGTGACGTAAGTGGATGGCAACTCACTGGAGTCATTAAGTTTGATATTACATATAATTAAATGATTCAAATGTCTCAGTATCTTCCCGTAAGGAGGATGCTCCTGGGTTGAAACAGTTATATGATCTTTCAGTCCCCGATGAAGACTGTTTTTTTTCATGCAGGAGAAAAGACTAGAATCACCAAGATTTTTTTGCTTCTCCCATCCAGTCCCAGAAATATGTGCTTCAGGGCTGTAGAAGTAACATCATTTTGCCATTTATATGAGCTGCTTACCTTTTATGTCTAATTACCATGTACACCTCAATAATGCATAGCATTAAATATGTATCATTAGATTAACTTTGTTGTTTTATTTGATTACAGTGCTAAAGTCCATCCATGCATAATTATAGTCTGTTGCTCATGTAACATGGTTGTCTCCTCATGACCACAGAAACAGCAAAAATACAATTACGGATACATCATTCCCCAGAGATTCAAATTAACATCATATTATCTCTCCTAGCATGGGTCAATAGACATCTCCTTGCTAGATAGCTAATATATTTTAATTATTTGGTAGGATACATACATTACTAAAACAGCAATTACAGTACAAATACTATTTTTACTTAATCAAGAAGGTCTATCTCAGATGTTAAGGTAAAATAAAAATACTAATGTGCCCTTTATTTCAAAATATCTAAGTATGAGCTAGAAGTGAGTTCACTATATGGGTGAAATCAAATGTTTTAAATTAATTGCAGTAGAACATACTGTAGAAACACATAAATGTGCACCAAATCCTGATGTTGTTGAGCATTTAAATATACACACTTGTAAGTTGCGTCTAAATAATGTGTACTAAATTTAAAGGACTACTAGTATCGTTATTCTAAGTTTGAAAATCTGATTTGCTCTTACTTAATTTGATCTATTGAGAAAAAAATCTAAGTCTAGTCTTTTTAGGGTATCAGTGGTATAGAAGAAATATTTGTATACATGTATAGAACCTTGACAAATAAATAAAACTAGCAGTTTCAAAAAAGTGATTTCAATGTTAAGGGAAAAATAAAAGCATGTTTTATTTGAGATAATTAGTGCATGTGAATAATACTGAAGTGCTAGGTAGTTTATGCTCATATTTACAAGGCATATGTTTAGAAACATTCACATAAAAGATACTATATTAATATTGTAGAAAAAATTTGTAAAGATGTATTAAAGTTAACATTTGTAACTAGGCATTCAGAGTCCCTTCTCGGGTCCCATAGACAGAATTCATGAGATCCTGCACTTACACATGAAAAATATTGCATCTTTATCTTCATTTGCTCTTGGTTGATATTTAACATTTCCTTTAATTCATAATGTAGACAACAATAAAGTTGTAAAATACATCAAAGGTTGGGAAAAAAGGAAAGGTAGGTAAATAACAAGCGGGAAAGATAGGAAAAGAAGAAAGGATTCATTGAAAAATCTTCGTGATAGAATGGTTGTACCACTGGCAAAAAGAGGCAGTCCAGGTAAGAGCAGAAATCCAGTGCAGTGGAGCGGAATCTTACAGATACAACCCACTTGTATTACCATATAGAAACAATCCACTTGTATTGCTATATATACATCAGGACTACAAACAAGGATTGCTGGAATCCTTTGCAATGTAGTGATGGTTGTGTATGAGGACAAATGAAATTCTTGAGGCTACTAGTGAAAAAAAAATGTGGCCAATGGAAGTTTAAGAAGTGTCTTTCTGGAGAACATGCGTTGAAGGGATGGGTAGTATTGCAACAGTCAGAAAAGACTCTGCACAGCAGGCTCACCCAGTGTGATATATTACAAAAGTTAACACAGAGTTTTAAGGAGTGATGAATAAGACAGTGGGATTAGGGATAGAGAGAGCTCTTCTTAAAATGTTCTCTTTAATCAATACATAAAAGGATAAAAGTAGTACATATTAGTGGAAAACCGTATAGCGTATACATGGTTTAATGTTTAAATCAGGTCAAACATAAACTGGATGTGGTACCACACTCACACTCCTGTAATTGCAGCTCTCAGGAAGCTGAGGCAGGAGGCATGGTTTAATGTTTAAATCAGGTCAAACATAAACTGGATGTGGTACCACACTCACACTCCTGTAATTGCAGCTCTCAGGAAGCTGAGGCAGGAGCGTTGCTGTGAGTTCAAAGGCAGGCCTGGGCTACTTAGTAAGTTTAAGACCAACCTGAACTACATAGCAAGACCCTATCTCAAAAACAAATAAATAAATAAATATAAATAAATCAGTCAGGTCAAATGTATCCATTTTCTCAAATATTTATCATTTCTTTATGATGAAAATTTTCAAAATGCTATCTTCTAGCTTTTTGAAATATACAGTACATTGTCAGTATTTATAGTCACCGTGCTGTGTAGAAGTATTTCGTTTGATATTCTGAATTGTGATGTATTATTTAAGTAGTTTCTTTTTGTTCTTTTTGAAACAATCCACACTATCTACCTGACATCTGTATATTTAATCACATGTTCTGTTTTTGTCT